CAAGCCCCCAGGCTCTATGACCCATGCTAGGACTTTCTAATCCCAGAGGACACTGAACAACCAGTTTCCTCTGTACCAAACAAGCATTCTGGACCTCTTGGCGCCGGCCGAACGCAAATGTGTGGCCTCCTGGCGTCTGGGCCTAGACACCGAGCGGCTGCACATTTGCATTCTATTAAAAAAAGACATGTGCTGAGAGAGCGCGCCCTGCACGCTCCTGGCACACATGTCCTGTACTCACGGAAAGGTCCTGATCTCCTCTTCCCGATTATCTGACATGACTCTAAACCCCGCCCCGCCTCCCGGCTTCTGAAACCCTTAAAGGGAGGCCGGGAGGTTCCGGCGCCAAGGGGTTAACCAATATGGCTGAGAACCCTCAGTGCCACCTAACCTTTCTGACACTGTGGCAAGGTGCAGCACTGTCACAGTGGGTAGCTGTAGTAAGTTACAGTCTAAGAAGGGATAGTGAAAGGATACTGAAAACAGAGCATGCCAGACTGCTGTCTTTGATACTAGAGAATTCTTTTGCTGTCATGTCATAAACACATAGCAGAGCATATCTTTGATTACACCAAGCCAAGTCCCCCTGCAGGCTTCTAAACAGTTGTTGGAACTGTCAGACAAGGGAGCAATGCTATGACCTGTCATCAGAGTAGCAAGATAGAGACTTGGAAACTGTCAGCAGTCCTGCTGTGAAGTAGTACAATGTTTTATTTTGTACCATGTCTATGAAGAGAATGTTTCTAGAATAAGCACCGGTTGTTGCCGATAAAGTTCATTTGCAGAACTGAAAGCACTGTCCCACCTCCCATGTTTGTGTCATTGCTTTAAAAAGGGGCTACCATCCTGACATACGTGTGTGTGTGTGTGTGTGTAAGGGAATGTAAAGCATGGCATATTGAATGAGCTGGAGTGGAATGGGAAACATACAGCATGTCATATGGAATGAGGCGATATGGAATAAGGAATGTACAGAATGGCATACAGAATGAAGGGGTGTGCAATAGGAAATGTAAAGCATGGCATAAGGAATGAGACAGTAAGGATTAGGGAACATAAAACATGACATATAAAATGAGATGGTATGGGGAAGGGAATGTACAGCATATGGAATAGGGCCAGATCTACAGTAGCTGGTGTAATGCAAGGGTGAAGTAAAAAATGGCAGGTGAGCAGAGGATGGGAGGTCAACAGGCGAGCGTACGGGGGTCATTATGGCAGTGTACTAGTTGCAGGGCAGAAAATATATAACCACTTGCCCTCCAAAGGATTTACCCCCCTTCCTGACCAGGTAATTTTTTTGCAATACAGTGTTACGTTACTTTAACTGACAATTGCTTGGTCATGCAACGCTGCACCCAAATTAAATTTATGTCCTTTTTTTCCCACATATGGAAAAAACGGGTAGGGCGTGCATGCGTCCCCAACCCGAAAATTCAAAATCACATATATACATGATTTTGCGCAGCCTTACTGCCCTGTAGCAGTAGTTCTGCTATAGGGCGGTCGAGAAGCGGATAATATGTTCCTAAAGGAAAACTTAGCCTTTAAACAGTATAAACAATATGTAAACAATGCAATATTAACAATACTATTAACAAGTAATCTGACTGGCTTTACAATTGCAAACTCAAGAAAGCATAACACAATGTGAACAAGACTAAGATTATGAAAGACAGAGCATCCTGTGAAAGAACAGAAAAATTATGCGTCTGGCTAGTATGGGGTCTTAAAGGGGGATTGAACAGAAACTACACCTGCTGTATACAATGCACACCTATACCACAGTCCTTATACCCAAAAAATACTGAATACTGTGCCACAACCAACATCCTCACAGACACAAATAAACCTCAGGACAAAGGAATAAACTAAACATTTCCATTACATATGTTTTTATGCACTCATATGCACACACCGCATGAATATTTATCCATTATTATTATACAGGATTTATATAGCGCCAACAGTTTGTGCAGCGCTTTACAATATTAATAAGAGTGCCCCCTTGTCCTCTGTGATGACCTCAGGGTGAATAGCACTACACAGAGTTCACTATATGAATCACTGATGTATTTATACATGTTGATCATATCCCCCCTTAATCTCCTCTTCTCAAGAGATAATAAATTCAGTTCCTCTAATCTTTCCTCATAGCTGAGCTCCTCCATGCCTCTTATCAGTTTGGTTGCCCTTCTCTGTACTTTCTCTAATTCCCCAATGTTCTATTTGTGAATTGGTGCCCAAAATTGAATTGCATATTCCAGATGAGGTCTTACTAATGATTTGTACAGGGGTAGAATGATATCTCTCTGGAGTCTATACCTCTTAATACACAAGGATTTTGCTCACTTTAGAAACCGCAGCTTGGCATTGCATGCCATTATTAAGCTAGAGATCTACCAGAACTCCCAGATCCTTCTCCACCATTGATTCCCCCCATTGTACTCCCCCTAGTATGTATGATGCATGCATATTCTTAGCTCCCAAGTGCATAACCTTACATTTATCAACATTAAACCTCATTTGCCAAATAGTTCCATAGTTGCCCAATTAAACAGTGCATTGAAGTCGGCTTGTAAATTGGAGACATCCTGTAAGGACGTTACTCCACTGTCTAGCTTGGTGTCATCTGCAAAGACTGAAATTATATTTTTAATCCCACACCCTATATCTTTTATAAATATATTAAAAAGTAAGGTTCCCAACACTGAACCATGGGGTACACCACTGACACCCTAGACCGGGTGTCGGCAACCCGCGGCTCCGGAGCCACATGCGGCTCTTTTTCACCTTTTCCTGCGGCTCCGGAGCACACTGCCCACCAGGTGACAGGCAATAGGGTCGGCAAGCCGCGGCTCTTTTAAATGTAGATCTTCTGTGAGCCGGGCGCCCGCTGGCAAACATTGGCTGTCAGGATGTAGGCGGGGCAGCCCAGATGTAGGCGGGGCAGCGTGACGAACTCCTCTCCTCTCACAGTCTGCCCTGAAGACCAGAACGGCGCGGGAACCCAGCGAGAGGAACGCGCGGAGCAAAGGTAAGTGAATTCACACAATATGGGGAATGAATTACTATAGGGGATGAATTACTATAGGGGGGGGGGATGAATTACTACGGGGGATGAATTACTATATGGGGGATGAATTACTATAGGGGGGATGAATTACTATGGGGGATGAATTACTATATGAGGGATGAATTACTATAGGGGGGATGAATTACTATAGGGGGGGGGATGAATTACTATATGGGGGGATGAATTACTATATGGGGGATGAATTACTATAGGGGGGGGGATGAATTACTATGGGGGATGAATTACTATATGAGGGATGAATTACTATATGGGGGATGAATTACTATGGGGGATGAATTACTATGGGGGATGAATTACTATAGGGGGGATGAATTACTATATGGGGGATGAATTACTATAGGGGGGATGAATTACTATAGGGGGGATGAATTACTATATGGGGGATGAATTACTATAGGGGGGATGAATTACTACCGGGGATGAATTACTATATGGGGGATGAATTACTATAGGGGGGATGAATTACTATAGGGGGGATGAATTACTATGGGGGATGAATTACTATATGGGGGGTGAATTACTATAGGGGGGATGAATTACTATGGGGGATGAATTACTATATGAGGGATAAATTACTATATGGGGGATGAATTACTATGGGGGATGAATTACTATGGGGGATGAATTACTATGGGGGATGAATTACTATATGGGGGATGAATTACTATATGGGGGATGTATTTTCAGTTTTAAAAATGTTTCTCTCAAAATAAATTTCAATCGTGGTTTTGGCGAGATTTGGCTCAGTCGAAAAAAAAGGTTGCCCACCACTGACCTAAGGCTATGATTGTGATTATGACGATACACTGTGGCCCTGATTAACCCTTTGCTTACTGGGCCCTTAAACCCCCTTCATGACCAGAGCGTTTTTTGCAATATATGCAGTGTCGGATTTGTTTTAAATGTTGCAATGGTTTTGCGGCTCCCAGTCTTTTTTTCCCTCTCGGAAATGGGTCCAAGTGGCTCTTTATGTCTTAAAGGTTGCAGACCCCTGCCCTAGACGATTCAGAGTATGAATCATTAACCATTACTCCTTGAATACGATCTTTTAGCCAGTTTTCTACCCATTTACATATGGATTTTTCCAAGCCTGTAGACTTTACCTTACACATTAGCCGTGTGTGCGGAACGGTGTCAAACGCTTTTGCAAAATCCAAGTATACTACGTCCACCGCCACCCCTCTGTCCAAGGTTTTGTTCACTTCTGTCTTTCATGAATCCATGCTGTCTGTTGCTTTAAATATTTTTTCCAGCAAGAACTCATCTATGAGGTATTTTATTACACTCTACCGTATCTTCCAAACTATAGAAGTTAAACTAACAGGTCTAAAATTACTTGGTAAAGATTTTGACCCTTTTTTAAATATTGGCGCTACATTGGCCTTATGCCAATCCAGTGGTACTATACCAGTTATTAAAGAGTCCCTAAAAATAGGAAACAATGGCTTTGAAATGACAGAGCTCAATTCTTTAAGGACCTGTGGGTGTATGCCAGGGCTTAAAATTTCAAGTCCTGAGCTACTAGCCAGGCCTTAAGAGTTACTCACCACCAGTTACCCCACCAAAACCCTTCCCTGCTACACCCCTAATTCAACCCCTAAACACGCCCTCATAAATTATTTCATGAAATTACATTGTTAAATGTTACCCACATTACATCAGGGTCCCCAGAGTCCCCCCACATTACATCAGGGCCTCCAATGTTACCTTAAACACTCCATCATATTTAAACCATGCACTGCATACAACCATAACCTCCCATAATCTTTCATTCACAAAACCATAATTCTACCAAGCATATCCTACCTACTATCCAACCCAGCAATACCTCAAATGCCCCATACTCTACCACCCATTATAGCCACATAATCCTGAACCTGACCAAACCACCCATACATGTAGGTTTACATACAGACACATGTACATACACGCACACAAACGGACACCTGTACACACACACACACACACTTGTACAGACGCACATACATGTACATACACACAGACACATGTACATACACAGAAATACACACGCACAGACACATGTACATACACACAGACAGACACATGTACATACATGCACACAGACACATGTACACACATACATGTACATACACGCAGACAAATGGACAGATAAACACATGTACTGTACATCCACACAGACACACACAACACACACACAGATACATGTACATACATACACACACAAATACATACACACACAAATACATACACTCACACACAGCCCTATAAAAATTTGCAGTATATCGTTACCTTCACTCACAGAGCCGGGTACTACACTCTAGGGGGAGGCAGAGAGCACAGCACACTCTCCTTCCTTTGCTTTCATTTTGCTCAACTATTGAGCAGTCTGATAGCTCCCATTGCGAGTGACAGATCTGGCCCTGAGTTCCGAGCCTGCTCAGAAAGACGGCCCTGGGGACACACTCGCCCCCACCATAATTTCCACTCACCAATGCGAGCAGGTGAGTGGAAGTTTCAAGCCCTGGTGTATGCCATCCAGTCAGGGTGCTTTATTCACCTTTATTCTGTCTACATATTTTTTGGATCTATCAATTGTGAGCCAATGTGGATCATCTGGAGCTGTGTCAATACCATGCCCATTATGGACAAGAACTCCCCCATGCTCCTTTGTATACACAGAGCTGAAGAAGGTATTTAATACATTTTCCTTCTCTTTGTCCCCAGTCACCCACTCTGGATTATTTTGTAAAGGGCCTACATGCTCAGACTGAACCTTTTTACTATTAATATATTTGAAGAGTTTTTGGGGTTGGTCCTGCTATCTTTTGCAATCTGTTGTTCGTTTTTCAATTTTTGTGGCCTTTATTTCCTTTTTGCATATTCTGTTATATTCTTTATAATGTTTAAACGATGATAGTGTGCCTTCATTTTTATATTGAATAAAAGCTCTTTTCTTATCTATAGCTTTTTTAACTTTGGCTGTAAGCCACATAGGTTTGATTTTTAGCCTATTAAACTTGTTGCCCATGGGAATATATTTTGCAGTGTGTTCCCATACAGTCTTTTTGAAGAACTCCCATTTCAGTGTTGTGTTCATTGATGCCAATATTCCCTCCCAGTCTAAGTCTTGGAGAGCAGCTCTCAGCCTTGGAAAATTAGCTGTCTTAAAATTGAGTGTTTTTATTTTTCCAGTATGTGTTTGCTGTTTACACAATAAATTAAATCATGTTATGGTCACTGCTACCCAGATGTTCTTTTATATCAGTGGTTCTCAACCTTTCTAATGCCGCGACCCCTTAATACAGTTCCTCATGTTGTGGTGACCCCCAACCATAAAATTATTTTCGTTGCTACTTCATAACTGTAATTTTGTAGTGGGAGGACTAGCGCCCCATCACTGATGTCAGTGGGAGGAATAGTGTCCCATCGTTGGTATCAGTGGGATGAATAGTGCCCCATCGTTGGTGTCAGTGGGAGGAATAGTGTCCCATCGGTGTCAGTGGGAGGAATAGTGCCCCATCATTGGCGTCAGTGGGAGGAATCGTGCCCCATCATTGGTATCAGTGGAAGGAATAGTGCCCCATCATTGATATCAGTGGGAGGAATAGTGCCCCATCATTGGTATCAGTGGGAGGAATAGTGCCCCATCATTGGTGTCAGTGGAAGGAATAGTGCCCCATCATTGGTATCAGTGGAAGGAATAGTGCCCCATCATTGATATTAGTGGGAGGAATAGTGCCCCATCATTGGTATCAGTGGGAGGAATAGTGCCCCATCATTGGTATCAGTGGGAGGAATAGTGCCCCATCATTGGTGTCAGTGGAAGGAATAATGCCCCATCATTGGTGTCAGTGGGAGGAATAGTGCCCCATCATTGGTGTCAGTGGGGGGAATAGTGCCCCATCATTGGCATCAGTGGGAGGAATAGTGCCCCATCATTGGCGTCAGTGGGAGGAATAGTGCCCCATCATTGGCGTCAGTGGGAGGAATAGTGCCCAATCATTGGCGTCAGTGGGAGGAATAGTGCCCAATCATTGGTGTCAGTGGGAGGAATAGTGCCCCATCGTGGGTGTCAGTGGGAGGAATAGTGCCCCATCGTTGGTGTCAGTGGGGGGAGGAATAGTGCCCCATTGTGGGTGTCAGTGGGAGGAATAGTGCCCCATCGTGGGTGTTAGTGGGAGGAATAGTGCCCCATCGTGGGTGTCAGTGGGAGGAATAGTGCCCCATCGTGGGTGTCAGTGGGAGGAATAGTGCCCCATCGTGGGTGTCAGTGGGAGGAATAGTGCCCCATTGTGGGTGTCAGTGGGAGGAATAGTGCCCCATTGTGGGTGTCAGTGGGAGGAATAGTGCCCCATTGTGGGTGTCAGTGGGAGGAATAGTGCCCCTATTGTGGGTGTCAGTGGGAGGAATAGTGCCTCATCATTGGTGTCAGTGGGAGGAATAGTGCCCCATCATTGGTGTCAGTGGGAGGAATAGTGCCCCATCATTGGTATCAGTGGGAGGAATAGTGCCCCATCATTGGTGTCAGTGGGAGGAATAATGCCCCATCATTGGTGTCAGTGGGAGGAATAGTGCCCCATCATTGGTGTCAGTGGGAGGAATAGTGCCCCATCATTGGTGTCAGTGGGAGGAATAGTGCCCCATTGTGGGTGTCAGTGGGAGGAATAGTGCCCCATTGTGGGTGTCAGTGGGAGGAATAGTGCCCCATCATTGGTGTCAGTGGGAGGAATAGTGCCCCATTGTGGGTGTCATTGGGAGGAATAGTGCCTCATCATTGGTGTCAGTGGGAGGAATAGTGCCCCATTGGTATCAGTGGGAGGAATAGTGCCCCATCATTGGTGTCAGAGGGAGGAATAGTGCCCCATCATTGGTGTCAGTGGGAGGAATAGTGCCCCATCATTGGTGTCAGAGGGAGGAATAGTGCCCCATCATTGGTGTCAGTGGGAGGAATAGTGCCCCATCATTGGGGGGAGGAATAGTGCCCCATCATTAGTATCAGTGGGGGGAGGAATAGTGCCCCATCGTTGGTGTCAGTGGGGGGAGGAATAGTGCCCCATCATTGGTGTCAGTGGGGGGAGGAATAGTGCCCCATCGTTGGTATTAGTGACACAAATGATGGGGCACTATTCCTTCCACTGACACCAATGATACTTACCTTGCTGACTCCTGCTCCAGCCTGGGCTCGCTCTCTCCCAGGCAGCATACCTGGCTGCAGCAGCAAAATTTGCACTTACCTGTCAGCTGTCTTCCTTCTCTGGCCTCTCTCTTCACTCGCTCCTGCAGCTCCCTTGATCTTCTTCGATCTCCGCGCTGCCGCTCGGCTCCTCCTCTCCAAGCACCACCTCCTCGCCGGTGATTGGCCGCCTGTGTGCCTCTCCTGAGCTACAGTTCCGGTGGCCAATCAGCGGCGAGGAGGCGGAGCTGTTGAGTGATCTCGGAGGTGTGGACAGGTTACAGGGGCAGCATATCATCCCGCCCACAGATCGCCTGAGACAGCAGCGGTGTCTCGGTTCCTAAGACCATTGGAAATGTGTTTTTTCCGTTGGTCTTAGGCGACCCCTGTGAAATGGTCGTTCGACCCCCAAAGGGGTCGCGACCCCCAGGTTGAGAACCGCTGTTTTATATGGACATTCGTAATAAGCTCTGCATGGTTTGAGATTACCAGGTCCAGCAGAGAAGCATTCCTAGTTGGGCACTCTATGAACTATAGCATAAAATTGTCCTGTAGTAGGTTTAAAAATTTTCCGGGTAGTTAAAATCCCCTATTACTATCATCACTGTCCCAGCCTTTGCAGCCCTTTCCATCTGTGCAAGGAGCTGAGTCTCTACTTCCTCATTAACACTGGGAGGCCTATAACAAACTCCAGTGATTACCTTTGTAGTACTCACCCCCATGTGCGGTTCCATGCATAATGCTTCAGCCTCACACTCTCCATCAACTAGGTCCTCTTTCACACTCGCTCTGAAATCACTTCTCACATAGAGACAGACACCACCACCTTTCCTATTTACTCTGTCTCTCCGAAAGAGTACATAGCCAGGAATATTAATGGCCAGTCATGTAAAGAATGAAGCCAAGATTTAGCAATACCAATTAAATCATAGTTCTCTTTATGTATCAAAGCTTCCAACTCACCTATTTTGCTTGGCAGACTTCTGGCATCGGTGAACAAACACTTTAATTCGTTGACACCTTGTGTACATGTATATTGTATATTTTTTTTATTTTCATAGCCCTTCCACCATCTTTCCCCATTCCACCCACCAATAAGTACTGACCCCTGTATGATCTGTCTATTCCCTTATAATTTAATTCTAAATCTAATTCTCCCTCCCCCCCTCAATCCTAATTTAAATACTCCTCCAGCCTTCCAATAAACCTCTCCCCCAGCACAGCAGAGCCCCTTCCATTTAGGTGCAAACCATCTCTAGCATATATGTTGCACCCCAATGAAAAGTCAGCCCAGTGCTCTAGAAGCCCAAATCCTTCCCTCTCATGCCAGGTCTTTAGCTATGCATTGAGTTCTCTAATCTCCCCCTGTCTTTCCTGAGTTGCACATGGCACAGGTAATATTTCTGAGCATATCACCTTGAAGGTCCTTCCCTTCAGGTTGCAGCCTAGTTCTTTAAATTGATCCTTAATGAGCCTCCACCTTCCATGTATTCTGTCATTGGTTTCAACATGGACCAAGACAGCTGGGTCATGCCCATCCCAGTAATTTTAGTCCACCACATGCCGAACCCTGGCATCAGGGAGACAGCAAACCATTTGGATGAGGCGATCCTGGGGACAAATTATTCTATCAGTCCTTCTGATTATAGAATCCACTACTACCAGTAGCTGTCTAGGCCTTCCTGCACTACCCTCACCACCCCTCCCAGATGGTCTGCCCTCCCGTCTGTTAGAGATAGCAGTGACCTCCAGGGCTGCCACCCCACATCTTTACCAAACTTGGCAAATCTGTTTGGGTGCACAAACCCAGGGCCAGCCTTCCTTTTCGGTGAGCCCCTACCACTCCCTCTCGTTACAGTAACCCATCTTCCTACCTGATAATCCTGATTAGCCCCTCTGCCCTCCACATCAATCCCAATAGCTATCTGCTCAGAGAGCAGAAGACCCCTTTCAAAGTTGTTGTTTCTGCACAGTGGTGCAACTTGCCCCTGCAGATCTCTAACGCGAGTTTCCAGAAAGACAACCCGCTCACATCTGTTGCAGCGGTATCCATCCTGGAGCTGTTGCTCCATTATTGCATACATGCTGCACGCTGTGCTCTGCACAAAACCTTCCATCCTGCTGGCACACATTATCCCAGTTACAATATTAATAGGAAATATCAGTTGTCACTTACAGGTTAGTAGACTCCTGTTAGCTATCAGCCAGCAAAAATCATGCCAGAGTTAGTTGTCACTAAGTGCTAACTGGACATGAAATCAGCTGAGCAAGTGTGTGAAGCTCCTGGAAGAACGGGATGGGGGAGGGGGGACAGAAAAGTGGAAGATGGGGAGACTTCAGTGAACTGCTCACTCACCCCGGGCTGGGATCTGAAGGCTCAGTCAGAAGCATCATACATGCAGCTACAATGGATCTGCCAGCTGCTGGCTTCAAATTTCCTGCCCACACGTCCATTTTGTCAGGCACGGCACTAGCTGCACATAGGGGATTGCAATGTCTGCGGGGCAGAGACAGGATTGGAGTGGGAGGAGGTGGAACAGATCAATCCTTCTCTCTGATCCGTGCAGGACTGTTGGGGATGCTGAATGGGTTGTGTGAGGGTGTCACAGACATTTCCCAGCTGCAGCCAGCCTGGCCCCAAAGCTGGCCATACACGTATAGATTTTTTGTTCAAGAATTTTCATTTCAAGAATATTCATTTGATTTTCTAATGGTTTGTGGGGTCAAATTGATGTTGGTTTTGGACAGCAGTGACAGGAAGATTTGAAGGGGCAGGAAGGAAAATCTCTCTCAATCAAAAATTTTTTGCCCAGTGTATGTGGTTATAATTCAGAAATTAAATTCATTTTAAAATCGAATGTTAAAAGCAAAAGACAATTTTAGAACGACTTCATCCATCCAAAATCTACACGTGTATGGCCAACTCTAGTTTATGGGCAGCTTCTACTGATGGCAACCCTGCGCAGGCACAACAACCATGGCAGAAGGGAGTTGCCTGGGGGAGGGCACAGCTGAAATCTGGGGTGCGCAGCCCACCCCAGCACCCCTCTAGATTCAGCCATGATATGGAATGAGGAGGTGTGGAATAGGGAACATACAGCATGGCATATGGAATAAGGAAGTGTGGAATACAGAACATACAATGTGGCATATAGTATAAGGAGGTGTGGAATAGAGGACGTAGAGCATGGCATATTAACCCCTTGTCTGCCATGATACATTTATAAAAGTCCTATTGCTGCAGACTTGAGTTTGGTATTGATTTTTTCAGCTGGAGATCAACTTTCAAGTATAAGTGATCTGGGTGGATCTAGAGACACCCAATCACTTTTGTGGTATGGAAAATGTGCACCCTGCCATTGGCACCCTGAGTGATTCCCAGACTTTGCCGTGGGACCATGGTAACATTGAGGGTGGGAAGAGTTTGGGGAACATCCACAATTTTCTCTGTAACTAATGGATATGGAAGTGATGTGTATCACGGCACTTCCTGGGTTCAGAGCTGTAGGCTTCTGTAGCCGGGGAAGCAGCTAAGTAAGCACAAGGTTGACATTGGAGATCTA